TGTGAGCACCTTGGTCCAAGCTACTATAAGTCCTCACAGAAAGACTGGCTCTGTTTTGTTTGACCCTGCTATCATTTCTCCCCGCAACACTTTTCACTTTTCACTTTACTTCCACCACATCCATTGCAACAACCAACTCTGATATTGTCATTGATGGACGGTGTATTTGCAGCTTCACACAAAACACTGTCTTTAATATCTTATCTTAAATTGATGGCCATTTCTACTATCTTTGTGGAGTTTGTTAAATGTAAAACAAAAGAAAGATGTTTGTCCTGCAACATTATTTGTTTTTGTTCAGCCCTGAATTGTACTTTCAGCTTGAACAACTCCCACTAATCAGAAGGGAAGACAGCCAGTACAAAGCCTACAAGCTGCAAAGGCAAACCTTGAGGCATGTCAGTACACAAAGCTCATTTGCTAAAAAACATTTTGCTGTGAGTGCAAAGTAATACTTAACCCTTTAACTGCCGGACCAAGAAAAAAGATATGGAAAAATTATTTGTTCGCATTTTCTTATCAAATGGGCCACAAATAAGCACAAACACATTTTTTTTTTTGACTGACCACACAGTTTTGTTTTTATGAGCCTCTACCAAATGGTCGAGCTGGTAAAAGTAATCATCATATACAGTACATTATTTGTATGCATCAAACTCAAATAAAACACAAACTCAAATACATTTGTTTCTTTTATGGAAAATGAGCAATATATACAACCAGATATATCCATAAAAGATAATAAATTATAATTGTAAAAAAAAAAAATGGAAAAAAGTCATGTAAAGTGTTTTTCATGATAAAAAAAATACTTGCTCATCTTACTGTATATGCTGAATTGGCCTAACAGGAAACCACTGGCCTAACAGCAAATGTCTATATCCTGTGTTGGCCTAACTTGCTCATCTGTGTGCAATTTTGGGCTGAATGCCATGCATGAAAGGTGCTATATAAATTATTATCACTCTTTCACTCTGAGACTCATAAGGCAGTACTAGATTTAGTAATATTACCATGAATCTAGCCATTTATTTACCATATTTTATTGGAAAACATCTCTGAAACTCTGAAAAAGTCATATTGCTAGCTTACCATAAAAGGCCCATTCGACCGATTGGTTGAGCATTTTGTCTCCAAAAAAAATTACACCCCTGTTAAAACTTTTGTGCATCAAGTTATCTAATTATGTTCAGTCAGTGCCCTGACACTAAAATATGTCAAAAAGGATATGTTTACCTTCCAAAAGTTGACCAAAAAGAGTGATTTCTTCAGCAGTGATTTTTAGCATTGCCAACTTTCTCAGTTGAAGCTAGCTGAAGGGCATTCTGTTTGAACCACAGTGACATCTAGAGGTTGTTTTGNGAGTCCTCTCCTGCTGATGTTCAGGTGTATATCAGTATGTAGTGTCTCTACTTTAAAGAGTCCTCTCCTGCTGATGTTCAGGTGTATATCAGTATGTAGTGTCTCTACTTTAAAGAGTCCTCTCCTGCTGATGTTCAGGTGTATATCAGTATGTAGTGTCTCTACTTTAAAGAGTCCTCTCCTGCTGATGTTCAGGTGTATATCAGTATGTAGTGACTCTACTTTAAAGAGTCCTCTCCTGCTGATGTTCAGGTGTATATCAGTATGTAGTGTCTCTACTTTAAAGAGTCCTCTCCTGCTGATGTTCAGGTGTATATCAGTATGTAGTGTCTCTACTTTAAAGAGTCCTCTCCTGCTGATGTTCAGGTGTATATCAGTATGTAGTGTCTCTACTTTAAAGAGTCCTCTCCTGCTGATGTTCAGGTGTATATCAGTATGTAGTGACTCTACTTTAAAGAGTCCTCTCCTGTAACTGTGTCCTCTCAGTATTATAGCTTATATAGCCTACAGCCCAAAAGGAATAATAAAAGATGGAAATAAGGAGAACTGGATGACTTGTTTTTCTCACTAAATGTCTGGAAGGACTCTCACTGTGACGTTAACTGTTCTTTGTAAATGCCACAGTCTCTTCATTCGCTGGCTAATTACAGATAACTATAACCACAAAAAGATCAAATTGCGCTCCGACAGAGCCAGACACGGACAGGTCGTATCGGGTAAGTTAACCCTCTGATCTCTGTAAAGCTGTCTGACAGAAATAACCTGAGTTCAGACATCAGGACTTTAACCAGAACATTAGATCAGATCAGATAATATCGGAGAGGACTTTATTTATCCTGAAGGAAATGGTTGTGCCAGAGTTACAAAAACACAATAAACACAGCAGCATAATAACAACTGTGCACTAACAGGGCCGTAAAAAGAGCAATTAAATATCTACAGGAGACTCAGACGGTCACATCGTTAAGTAAATATTAACAGTATTTAGTAGTGCAAAGAACGTAGTGGCAGATACGTGACTGCACGTTAAAAATACTGCCTTCAAACATCTATCCCTGGAGCGGGTTTCATTACCTGGACAGATCTCACGCTGCATCATCTTGATAATCTCCCTCGACGCGAGACGGATGATATTTCAAGATTTCAAGATTCAAAGGTTTTAATGTCGTGTGTGTGTGTGTGTGTGTGTGTGTGTGTGTGTGTGTGTGTGTGTGTGTGTGTGTGTGTGTGTGTGTGTGTGTGTGTGTGTGTGTGTGTGTGTGTGTGTGTGTGTGTGTGTGTGTGTGTGTGTGTGTGTGTGTGTGTGTGTGTGTGTGTGTGTGTGTGTGTGTGTGTCAGCAGGAAGACAGGTTTGTGCACAAAGAAGGAGGAAGAGAAGAAGAAGCTACGACTGGAAACCAAAACAACTACGACACACTGAGACAACACAGGTAACACGCACACACACACACACACACACACACGCACACACACACACACCAGATATATTCATAAAAGATAATAAATTATAATTGAAAAAAAAAAAAAATGGAAAAAAGTAATGTATTTATGAATATATCTGGTGTGTGTGTGTGTGCGTGTGTGTGTGTGTGTGTNGCCTGGACATGTACTGGCTTAAGCAGGGGGACACGTCTGGCACTGCAGGATTTGAGTCCCTGGCGGCGTAGTGTGTTACTGATGGTAGCCTTTGTTACTTTGGTCCCAGCTCTCTTCAGGTCATTGACTGGGTCCCCCCGTGTGGTTCTGGGATTTTTGCTCACCGTTCTTGTGATCATTTTGACCCCACGGGGTGAGATCTTGCGTGGAGCCCCAGATCGAGGGAGATTATCAGTGGTCTTGTATGTCTTCCATTTTCTAATAATTGCTCCCACAGTTGATTTCTTCACACCAAGCTGCTTACCTATTGCAAATTCAGTCTTCCCAGCCTGGTGCAGGTCTACAATTTTGTTTCTGGTGTCCTTTGACAGCTCTTTGGTCTTGGCCATAGTGGAGTTTGGAGTGTGACTGTTTGAGGTTGTGGACAGGTGTCTTTTATACTGATAATGAGTTCAAACAGGTGCCATTAATACAGTTAACAAGTGGAGGACAGAGGAGGCTCTTAAAGAAGAAGTTACAGGTGTGTGAGAGCCAGAAATCTTGTTTGTTTGTAGGTGACCAAATACTTATTTTCCACCATAATTTGCAAATAAATTCTTTAAAAATCAGATGTGATTTTCTGGATTTTTTTTTCTCATTTTGTCTCTCATAGTTGAGGTTTACCTAGGATGAAAATTACAGGCCTCTCTCATCTTTTTAAGTCGGAGAACTTGCACAATTGGTGGCTGACTAAATACTTTTTTGCCCCGCTGGATGTTATGGTTAATTCCATTCTTAAACTTAAACAATGAACCATAAGGAGCAGGTTGGTAATGTCACCAGTGGTGTAAAGTAACTAAGCACTTTTAATCTAGTTCTATACTTATGTACAATTTTGACATTTCCATGTGATGTTACTTTGTACTTCTGGTCCAATACAATTCAGAGGTAAATCATGTCATTTGACTCCATTACATTTATTTTGTGCCTTTAGTTACTTTGCAATTTTTAATTAATGATGTGAAATATAATCAACACTTGAATAATACTTTAGTTACACCTGCAGTACCTTGCAGTATACAACGTCATTAAAACTAGCTGCTCCTTTACCAGCTTTGATAAACACATTAATGCATTAACAATAATAATAAAACATATAATATATATTATTCTGAAATTGGCTAATCTGCATAATGAGTAATGTTACTTTTGGTCCTGTAATTATATTCTGATTTTTGATATACTTTATTAATCCCTGTGGGGAAATTGTTTCTCTGCATTTGACCCATGGAGCAGTGGGCTGCCATTATGTATGGCGCCCGGGGACTAGTGTAGGGAACGGTGCCTTGCTCAGGGACACATCGGTAGCACTTGGTCTTGCCGGGACTTGAACTGGTGACCTTCCAGTTGCCAAGTCAAGTCCCTATCAACTTCGCCACCACCGCCCCAAATGCTGATGCTTATACTTTAGTACTTTTACTTGAGTTACATTTTGAATGCAGGACTTTTACTTGTAACAGATTATTCCTTCACTCTGGTACTTCTACTTTTACTCAAGTACAAGATCTGAGTACTTCGCCCACCTCGGAATATCACACACTAGCAGAGAGAATACATAAAACCTAAGCATATATAAATTCTAAGCATACAGCGTGTAATAAATGGGCTAATAAGGAGTTTCTTTGCCATATTGTGACTATTCTGTGCTGCCTAACTGGAACAGTCACATACCCGTAGCAGAAGCTGGCAGGGTGTGAAAGCACCCTGTTGACTGTCCATCATTAGCGTGCATTATTCAGCGGGGCTCTTGCTGTGTGCAGGAGGTGGAGAGGAGTTCAGTGCCGTGTGAAAAAAGGCATCAGTATAGTTACATACAGTGGAAATATGATATCTGGAGCTGCGTGTGTGAGTCTCCGCACATACGAGCATGTCTGCTACTGTAGTTTATATCTGTGCTCAGATGCATTATTTAAATGTACCAGCCCACCATTGATTGTGCCGCATTTAATCTTCACTCTATTGAATCCTCTCATATATCTCTATTTCTTTGGGTTTTTCCCCCTGTAGTCATGGAGAAGCAACTAGAGGAGCTGAAACAGCAGCTAGAGAAACAATGTATGATCAACCAGGAGCTGCAGAGGCAAAACAAAGACCTGGGTGAGTAAATCATAAATATATCACATTGAAAAGTAACTTTACATCAGACCACATCAACACTGGCAAATTCAGCTTTGATATAGTAATGTAAACCATAGTGCATCGTAATGAGCATAAAGTCACCACTAGTAAGCAGGATGAAGGTGTGTTTGACAGGGCACAGTTACCCTTTATGCATGTTTTTAAGAAATTGAAACAATACCAACTTTAAAGACACTTTACACGCCATACACATCTCCACTCATATAATGTTCTATATTTCTATTGTTTTGGTATAAATTTGGCACCAGAGAAGACTGTCAAATGTATTTTTCAACGCAAAAATGACCAGTTTATGAAATATCTTGGTCTACGATTTTTTGAAATTGTTACGCTAAAAATGGTATGTTAAGATAATGAACATAAATCCACAATGGCATTCTGTTTCTTGGGATTCTTTGTGCATTCATTGTTTCTGTTTTTTTCATTATAGAGCAACGACTACAGGAAAAAGAAAAACTTTTGCAAGAGCTCGACAGTCAATATCATGATCTGGGTAAGACGCCGACATGGGCACCAAGGACACACACTCAAACACGCACGCACGCACGCACGCACTCACGCACGCACACACACACACAGTTGACCTTTGATTCAACATTCAGCTGCAGTGATTTACAGTATACCCCTCCCTTTACTTTTACTCTGTTTGTCCATATAGACTTTCCCTCTCAGAGCGGTCATGACATCGATCCGGAGGTCAGGAAGAGCCGTGCGGCTGTCATCGCCTCCGAACCAATCCCAGAGACCCTTGAGATCAAACACATGAGGGTCAAGAAAAACGCCAGGTTGGTAATGAGTCTTTTGGAGCGCAGAATATCCTGTTAGATTACACATCTGATTAGCTCTTCTGCACACCTCCAACATCTTAACAATTTCCTTATCTAAAGATTTTCTCTCACTTCCCAATATCAGCGAGACCAATCTCATTGTCAAAGCCATCCAGAAAAATGACTTCCTGAGCCGCCTCGACGATGAGCAAACAGCCATGATGGTGGATCTTTTGGCTGTGTCCAGCTTCAAACCAGGGGAGGATGTCATTAAAGAGGGAACTGAAGGAGACAGCATGTACATAGTCGCAGGTGGGGACTACACAGTGTTTCAAATTGTGTTGCTATGACGTTGGTATTTTGTTTTTGTCTTTGCTTTTGTTTGATTTGTACAGCCCTTTGAGGCATTTCTTGTGATTTGGAGCTATAATACATTTGATTTGATTCAAGGTTTTGGAATGATAACCCTATATTACAAATGAACTAAATGTAATATGAAATGTTATAAATACAATGCAATTCTCTATAATGCCACTATCTTTTCTTTCCGCCTCTAGCTGGTGAGCTTGTTGTCACCCAGGCAGGCCGTAACCTCCGCAGCCTCACCACTGGTGATGTGTTTGGGGAGCTGGCCATCTTGTATAATTGCAAACGAACAGCAACAGTCAAAGGTCAGCCCCTGTAATGATGCCTCTTGAGAGTACATGATAATGGCAATGGGAGTTTTTATATTTATTTGATACCATAATGGCCCCTTCCTCATAGAGTCATCTTTTCATCACTTTCACTTGTTGCAGCAAAGACAGCAGTGCGTCTGTGGAGCATGGAGCGACAAACCTACAGGACGATCATCACCAACAAGTCCAAGAAGAAACGAGAGCAGCTCATGGGCTTCCTGAAGACGTGAGTTTATAAACGCTGGAACAAGTACACCTTTAAAGAACCAGTGTGTACGATTCGGGGGGAACTATATTGGCAGAAATTGAATTTAATATGCATTACATGTTTGCGTTAATGCATTATCACTTCAAACTAAGAATTGTGGTGTTTGTATAAGGTAAGAATGGGCACTTCATACCTACATAGGGAGTAGGTTGTCATCCACAGTCAGCCATGTTGCACTGCCATGTTTCTACAGTAAGAACCAACAAAAGAAACACATTCTAGATAAAGCCATCTTTATCTTAGCTGCCACCCCCAAAGGTTCTCCATACACTTGGAATGGGGTGGGTGTGAGGAGGAGTATTTAGTTGGTTGCAATATGCAGCATCACCACTAGATGCCACTACATCCTGTTCAATTTGGGGATTTCCTGTAATCCCACGCTGCCATAACAGTGCTTTTTCATGGCTTGATTTACCATTTACAACTATTTTTTAACTCTGCTGCTGTTTCCTGTTTTCTGTTACAGGTCTCATACTCTGAAAGACCTGAATGATGTCCAGTTGTCCAAAATCATTGACTCTATGGAGGAGGTGTGTACTAACAAGTCCCATTGGGAACTTTGTTTTCACATAAGTAACCATCACTTGTAATACTCAGAGTAGAAATCGTGCTTTGGTGAGTTAATTAATATATATATTTCTTGAATCATCTGTTTTTACAGATAAAGTCAAAAATGTATGGTGATTTGGAGGATGCTATTTTAAATTCTGAGATGAAGCATTTTCAAGGCACTTTGTGTAATACTTGTGGTTTTGTTGTCCTGTAAATCACATATTTTATTGTTTGTGTGATAAGAAATATGTGTTAGTAAACGGAATTAATCCTTATTGTCTGAATGTGTTTTCTTCTGTTCTTCAGGTGAAGTACCAGGACAAAGATGTTATAGTTCGAGAAGGAGCAGAAGCCAACACCTTCTACATCATCCTCAAAGGAGAGGTATGTGTTGTCATGTTGTGTGCATGTACATTCATATATAAATGTTTCAGCCGGTTTGTATTTGGTAGCCATCCGTCTGATTATCTCCCCCTCCCCCCCTTGTGTGTTTCCCCTTCAGGTCCTGGTGACTAAGAACGTGAACGGGCATCAGAAGCAGATTCGCCGGATGGGAAAAGGGGAGCACTTCGGGGAACAGGCCCTGATACGGTAACCATGGCAACACAACCCATGCCTCAGGGCATTCGTTGAAGCCTTACGCAACACCCACTGCTCGGTGTGTGCTCCTTGTTTTAGCTGCTGGCATTTCTGACAGTGTTGTTGTACAACCTGGCGTCTGTCTTGTGAACGTGAGAATCAGTGAGTAAAATCTCAGCAAAGTTCTCTGCACACACATTATGGGTGTGAGAGCTGCTGTGTTAGTTAATTGGGAGGTTGTTCAGATGCAGATTTGTGCAGCATAAAGAACATTAAAGTGATAAATATGCACCATCTCTTTGATTCTTTTGAAATTGCCATGTGCGTTCCACAGGCAATAAGACTATTAAACACTTGAACTCTTTAAAGAACATCCATAAACATTCATCTGTTTGCATCTTGCAAATTATTTGTCTAACTAATATTCCATTTACTTGTATAAAGACTCTTCTTGCACTATTTCTATTTTATTTGTATTTACTTGCACATCTCAAAACATTCTCTTGCACTATTTTATCTGTTTTATTTGTTCTATGTCCTATATATGTTCATGTTGCACTGTTTCATTGCCATATCTACACTCTAGCTAATGTGCACATGACAATAAAGCCTTGAATCTTGAATAATGAACACATTATCTGCCATAGTCTATTCATTTATGATGACAGTCCTGCAGCACACACATCCTTAAACATATAAGTCATGTCATCAATTTCAGGTGCAAATTCAAAGTTATATCAAAATTCACACTGAGGCATTGACAAACACAGTAATGAAAATGCATTTTTTTCGTACGTTCACATGAGAAATGTTTCTCCTCTTGCAGGGAAGTCTTGAGAACAGCCACCTGCAGTGCGGACGGCCCTGTTACCTGCTTCTCCATCGACAAGGAGTGAGTCTATATTGTGCAGTCATTCTCTCTGAGAGAAAGATGAATGAAAGAGTTCCTTGGAGTGTGTTTGCTTTCTGTAGTTGACTTTTCTGTCTGATGCTGTCTGTCTATGTAACAATGCTGTTTCTTCAGGGTATTTGAAGAGACGATTCCCATCGAACACCTGGAGCTGTTTGACGAGTATGTACAAGATTTTCGTTTGACTCCTTTTCCCATCATCATTCAGAATAATGTGATATGTAAATGGGTAAATACCAACATATTAATTTGTATTGTTTTCTTTTTAATCCAAGCTCCAAAGTCCTGCAGGAGGCACAAGCTCCAGAGAAGACGAGGTGAGTAGAAGTGAAGGATGATGAGATTTGGTGGATGCAGTGGGATGAAGAGATATAACACAATCATTGAAATCAAATAAGTTCTTTGAGTTGAAATCATATTCTTTGTCTATCCTGGTCAGTCCCAGCTCCACGTTGAGGTTTAAGGACTTGGTCCCTGTGCAGTACCAGGAGGGACGCTATCAAGGAGATCCTGTCACGCTTGGAGTCGGAGGGTTCGGCCGTGTTGAGCTGGTTAGTGTATTTTTGTTTGTTTGTCATTATAAAGCACTATTTCAACTTTTTTCTTGAATGTACAATACATTACTCGTCTAATACAAATCCGTGTTGGGATTATTGTCATTTCAGTGAGAAGAAAGTATTTTTATATAGTTCCTTTCTGGGTTAATACACTACAGTAACTAGAACTAGAAAATTAAGAGAAAAGTATCAAGATGGGAAAAGGGCTGAATCACATACTTCTCATGTTATCAGCTTGATTAAATGGCGTTATTAACGATAATCTGCCATAAAGATGTTGGTCAGAAGCAACTTTCAGAAAAACACTTTTTACATAAAAGTTCCATATAAGAAGAATAACATTTGAGAAACAATTAAGGATGAGCAAAACACCCTCTCCTGCTTCAAAAAGATACAATATTCCCTCCCAAAAAGAAGAAAAAACGATATTATTGGCCCTCTCTTCCCTTATCATGTTTAAAGTCAGAGTATGCAGGACATTTAAGGAAGCGATATAATCTATTCCTTCAAACTGCCAACCAAACACCAGTCTATCACACAAACCCATAATTGTGTTACTATTGGAATGTCTATTGTATAAAGATATATACCCTGGAGAGTTAGCATTACATGTTCAGAGGTGATCATTGTTTTGTTGTCATTATTAGGTGACCACATTGAATCATGGGAAATATTATGCCATGAAGCGAGTCAGCAAGAAGCACATTGTGGCCAAGAGACAGGAGGAGCACATGTTGTTTGAGAAGAAGATCCTTAAAGCCACGCAGTGTGACTTCATCGTCGGGTAACGGCAGTCACAGACACACATTTGGTTTGATTTACAGAGAATTTCAACGTGTTCTTTAATCTCGCTTTCCTATTCTCTCTCTGCAGGCTTCATGCATCTTTCAAAGACTCGCGATACATCTACATGGTCATGGAGTTCTGTGTTGGAGGAGAAATCTGGACCAAACTCAAAGAAGTGTGAGAAAACACACAACTAATTTCCTTAGATAGATGTTGAATAATTCCTCAGTGTTATTTGAGCATCTCTGCAACATCTGTGAGGAAATGGCATTCATTGCTATTTTTACATCTTGAGATCAACACTGAAGTTTCTCCAGTAGCTGCCAGTATCTGAATTACAGAAATATAGCTGATGCCGTTTCCCATAGCAACCAATAGTTCCAACAATGAAATGAAACTTCAGTTATTTAGAGCTGTTGATACCCAAATACATACGAATATCAGCGCTAGAAAGTCATGGAATATAATACATTTATTTGAAAGCAAACGAGCAGAGGAGGACGTTTTTGGAGAACTCGTTGAACCTTTTGTGTTTCTGTGATTTTTAGAGGGCGTTTTGATGAACCCATTGCCGTGTTCTGCACCTCCTGTGTGGTGGAGGCCTACGCCTACCTGCATAAGAAGAACATCATGTACAGAGACCTGAAACCTGAGAACCTGATGCTGGACGTTAAGGGCTACGTCAAACTGGTGAGTACTCATCTGTGTATTTGTCCATTTCTGTACCCTTTAAGGCACTGGTTGCTTTAACGCTGTTATTCCTATATTAATGTCTCTCTTGCTTTTCAAATGTATATTTGATCATGGAAAGCATATAAGATGTCATGTGCCATTTCTACAAACATCCCTTTGTTTTCTCGTGTAGGATGACGCACCTAGCCGCTAGTAGGAAAATGATAATGTGTGTGTGTGTGTGTGTCTCTCTTCAGGTTGACTTTGGTTTTGCTAAGGAGTTGGTACGCGGTGAGAAAACCTACTCATTTGTGGGCACTCCTGAGTACATGGCCCCAGAGATCATCAAGAACCAGGGACATGACTTTGCAGTTGACTTTTGGTCCCTTGGCGTCCTGATCTATGAGCTATTGGTGGGAAGGTAATACTAATACACGTGCAATTATTTGAACTGATGAGGATGATGATTCATTTTTAAGCAAAGAAATGTCACCAGAGAGTCACACAGATATTAACCAGTAGATGGCAGCAGGGAAATATGGCATACATTTTCACAATTCAGTGTCTGCAGGTTCTCTTCAGCACTTGTAACAGCAGCTGACTTTCTGGTGGGTTTTTATGACAGATCGTTCAAACATTAAACTCTCTTTTCAACTTTTCAGCCCTCCCTTTTCAAGTTCAGAGCCTCAGAAGATTTACGCTAAGATTTTGGACGGGGTGCCCAAGTATCCACCTTACATGAGTGAGGCAGCCAAGTCCATCATCAGCAAAATGTGCAGGTGAGAATGTTGATTAAATGATTTCACATACTGATGTCGCTCTGGTATTTTGTAGAAAATCAACCAAATGAATAATGTTGATATATGGATTATTTCATATGTTAATGTTGTAATATTAGCATTTATACAATAACACCCAGTGAAGAGCATGAATATTAGATTATACTGTATCTGCAAAATAATATATATTTTGTAGTGGTTATTTATGATTAAAACTAGTTTGTAAAGTGGTCTGTCTGAATGATGTCTCATGTTTTTGTTTGCAGACCTCGGCCGGGTCAGAGGTTAGGAAACACCAAGAATGGAATCAAAGATGTCCGGAATCACAGGTAACCATGGCAACATGCTATTGGGTAAAAAGATACAGGAAATTATTTCATTAAAAGAATAGTTTTTTGTCTTATCTTGTTGTTTTTAAAGTTCCTCAACTGCTGACTAACATTTGCAATTTCAGTTATTTCTCACTCTCCAAGGATTGCCAAACCTGAACAGAAAAATTATAAAAAATTCTCAAACAAACTGCAAACATCTGCAAAACTTGATAGCTGTGTTTTGCCGTATTGTCATTAGAGCCATATTTTTTGATGGTGTGTCCGACCTGTTTATCCCCCTCATCTTTCCCTCAGGTGGTTTGGCAGTATGAACTGGCACAAACTGCGTGTCGGTCAGCTCGACGCCCCCACAGTCCGGCTCATACGCAAGGCAAGACTAACCACTATCTGAGATTTTTTGTTGCTTTTATGTGAACATACTACCTTTGTTTGACTTAAGAAAAAACAGAACCAAAGAACAAAGCAGGTTCAATTCTAAAAATAAGAAGTATTATTAAGACTTTTAAAGCCTTAAAATGTGGTTCAACAAGATTTTGCAAAACCAAGCAAACACATATGGATATTATTTAAAACTTCCAATCCCTGCTAATGCCCTTACCAGAAACAATACTCTTAAAAGAATGATGTCATGTCAAACAATCCAAAATGATCAGACTTTGGCAGAAAAGTGTGTTCCAGTAGGACTAAATTATTCATTGTAAGAAGCCGAACAGGTGTTCAGGGCTTTAGACTTTAACATTCTAGTAAGAAACAGGCTGGGAGCAACAGACTGTTTTAAAATAACGCAAGGTTTGACGGTACTGCATATTAAATAAATCAACTATTCATTGTTCCTCTTTCAGGGACCCTGCTATATCAACTTCGATCGTTTCCCTCTTGATCAGACGAAGGCTGAAGAGGAATTTTCTGGATGGGACCGTGAATTCTGAGTTTCCTCTGTCACCCAAATGTGGAGCCAAATCAGAATAACCTCAGTTTAAGGGGAACCACGTTTGGAATTGAAATACAGACTTCATTTCATAATCATTTGATTTTCAGTTGAAGTGGAACTCCAGAGAATCACCTTTCCCAAAATAGTTGTTTTAAAGCTTCTCTGTTGCCGTAGAGAGACAACCGTCTAGGTGGCAAAGTGCCAAAAATAAGAGGTGTCAGGACAAGATGTTAGGACATTGTGTTTCTACATTCAGTGCAGGGAGATTTGATGCCCTTTGAGGAAGTGTTACCAACATCATCGTATAACACACATCACTGATGAGAATAACACACCCATCCATGTGCTGACTAACTGAGAAAAAAGGCTTGAGTCATATTGTACTGAAGGCCAGCTCTTACCAAGCCTGACAATGAAATCCATACTTTAATATTTTGGATATGTTAGTTTTAGAGATAAAACATGCTTAAATTGCAAAGCTGGTAAATGCTTATATTGTTGTTTTTTAATGTGAACTGTCACTTTCTTAAGGAGCATTTCCTTACTTTTGAATAATCTCTTGCCTTTTTATGTGCAGATTATTTCTCAAGCACCTTGATTGTATTTTAAAAAGATAATTGAACATCCTAATGAAACTTTCTACTTGACTCAAGTTTAGTAAATAAAAGTGCCCTTATCTGCTTGAGCTGCCTTTGTTTTTTCTCTACTTTCCACCATTGTGCTGTAATGAAATCCCAAGTGTAAAACGGTACACATTTGTTTTTGCTGTTGTAGCCGACTCCCACATGGCATACAGTAAGCAATTAAGGAGTGAACATAAGGGAAAACATAATGCTGATAAAGATGTTATCAGAGAGAGTAATTATCTGGGCACACTGCTATGTTTATATTCTCATTTGTTGCAGCTGATTGTTAGGCCCCGGAGAGGTACAGCTGTCTGTCATGGCAGCAGATTTGAAGACAGGAGGAAGAGGTCTACTTTTCCCTTCCTGCCAATGCCTGTGAATTAAACTACTGACACTATTTTCCCACATCAGAAAAAAACCTCACATAGAAACAATAATATTTTCCAAAGGGGAAGAATACACTGAATACACTACCAGATGTTTCCCTCCTGCAGAAAAAAAGAAAGCACCTTGATGTGGCGAATGTTTTGATCCATTGACAGCGATGACAGCAGAGGCTCAGGGGATGAACTGTATAGTACAAAGTGATTTCTGTACAGAAGCAAACCCTGGTTTCCTGCTGTGCTGTATGTAGGATTAAAAATGTGTTAGCAACAGGGGCGGTTCTAGGGGGGGGGGCACAGGGGGGTCCCCGCAACACTGACCTGGGAGCCCCCTGTGGCCCCCCTCCAAAAGAAAAGTGTATAATATTCAGATTTATTGGCTATAGTGCTGGCGCGATAGGCGGAACTAATGTAACTCAGCATTTTAGTCGGACCCCTTACAGCGGTACACCGCCACGGGCTGTCTGAGGCATCCAGGAAAAAAACAACACGTGTCATCTCCCACCAGAGGCTGTTCTCTTTACTTGAGAGACTAAACATCCCAGGAACCGCAGGATATTGTTGCTGTAATGGGACATTCTAGAAGAGAAAACTTCAGCTTGGGATGCAGAGACCCTGATAAAACAATTAAAACAACCCAGCCTGGCCCCCACCAGTAAAATTGGTCTAGAATCGCCACTGGTTAGCAGACAACCTTGTTATACCTGCAATGTGACATGAGGGAAAAAGGAAATAGGATTAAAGGATGAACCCTGTGTCATTCCATAGATTTCCCGCTGTTAACAAATCCCATTAAACACCCATGTGTTATTCCTTCTCTCATATGTCTCCCCTGCACTGTTTATTACATTGTAGGAAAGACTTATTCGGGCTCAAGCAGGTGTGGGTGAAAACAAATTCAGCTAAATATAATGTAGAAACATTTCATTCATATGTGGGCACACAAGTATAAGACATGCTACAGAGACAATGCTAGAGACAATCCATTGTTGTTTTTTGATTGGATTTTGGGCAATAAGAAAAACATTTGTTATCTACCTTGCTGAATACAAACAATACATATGTTTGTATTATGCATTTTTTCAGGTAAACAGATATCACAAATCATCTCTCCATAAATAGGACAACATAAACACAAGTATTTAGGGGTCCCAGAACACATTTTTATGTATTAATCTATAAATCCCATTGGTGTTTAATGTTAATACATCCAGGTAAGTCAACCCTTTAACTGCCAGCACCACCATTTGGTAGAGCACATTTCGTGTCTTGATATCTTGTTGAAAAAGTTGAACTCCATCTGATTCAGCCAGCTCTACCCTTTGGTTGACATGTTATGCGCAAAACAACCTCTAGATGTCACTGTGGTTCAAATAGAATGCCCTTCAGCTAGCTTAAACTGAGAAAGTTGGCAATGCTAAAAATCCCTGCTGAAGAAATCACTCTTTTTGGTCAACTTTTGGAAGGTAAACATATCCTTTTTGACATATTTTAGTGTCAGGGCACTGACTGAACATAATTAGATAACTTGATGCACAAAAAAGGTTTTAACAAGGGTGTACTTATTTTTTTGACAAAATGCTCAACCAATCGGTCGAATGGGCCTTTTATGGTAAGCTAGCAATATGACTTTTTCAGAGTTTCAGAGATGTTTTCCAATAAAATATGGTAAATAAATGGCTAGATTCATGGTAATATTACTAAATCTAGTACTGCCTTATGAGTCTCAGAGTGAAAGAGTGATAATAATTTATATAGCACCTTTCATGAATGGCATTCAGCCCAAAATTGCACACAGATGAGCAAGTTAGGCCAACACAGGATATGGACATGTGTTGTTAGGCCAGTGGTTTCCTGTTAGGCCAATTCAGCATATACAGTAAGATGAGCAAGTATTTTTTTTATCATGAAAAACACTTTACATTACTTTTTTCCATTTTTTTTTTTTCAATTATAATTTATTATCTTTTATGAATATATCTGGTTGTATATATTGCTCATTTTCCATAAAAGAAACAAATGTATTTGAGTTTGTGTTTTATTTGAGTTTGATGCATACAAATACTGTACTGTATATGATGATTACTTTTACCATAGCAGGCCAGCTCGACCATTTGGTAGAGGCTCATAAAAACAAAACTGTGTGGTCAGTCAAAAAAAAAAATGTGTTTGTGCTTATTTGTGGCCCATTTGATAAGAAAATGCGAACAAATAATTTTTCCATAGCTTTTTTCTTGGTCCGGCAGTTAAAGGGTTAAATAATGCTGAAATCAGGGAAATAATTTGTTTCAGTACTTTTGCCTCTAGTTATAGGAAAAAATATATAATTNAACAGTGTGTGAAAACCTTGTGAAGACTTACAGAAAACGTTTGACCTCTGTCATTGCCAACAAAGGGTATATAACAAAGTATTGAGATTAACTTTTGTCATTAACCAAATACTTATTTTCCACCATAATTTGCAAATACATTATTTAAAAATCAGACAATGTGATTTTTCCTCATTTTTTGTGATTTTTCTCATTCTGTCTCTCATAGTTGAGGTATACCAAGGATGAAAATGACAGGCCTCTCTCATCTTTTTAAGTGGGAGAACTTGCACAATTGGTGGCTGACAAAATACTTTTTTGCCCCACTGTATACATGCATGCTAATGAATACACACTGATTTGTTAGCACTGCTGCTTGAGATAAGCTAACCATACACCAGATCTAACTTTCTTTTTGTCATGCATGAGATCTGTATATAAAAGCCCTGATAAGTGTGCCCCTTTATTTCCATATAGTGGAACAATGGAAACTATTTTCTGTCTATATTGACAGGCCAAACATTACAATCATGAGGTTACGGGACTAATATCCTGAACACACAAACATTGCTTTCAGTAAAGCTTCACTGTGCTCATCACGTGACCACCCCCCCCCTCCCCCGCTGCCTCACCCTGAACATTGGACAGTTCTGAGATTAGACATGATGTTAAAGCAAATCATAAAGTCACTGAGCAATAGCTCCTGGCTACTGTTCCACTTTTTGAGTTGTTTTATATGCAAGTTTGGACACAGTTTATAGTGACAAGGAGCTGGTTCAGGAACATTCGGCACTCACCTAGATTGGATTGGATATTTTACATGACAACAATGATTCACTATCAACAACAATGTGCAAATCTAGTCCAGTAAACAACACAATGCAGCGGCAGGGCCACAAGTTAATAGTCCTGTGTTGATGGTCCTAAAGTGTTTACACGGAACACAATGGCAACAAAATAAACATCTGTAGCTACATACTTGTAAATCAAATTTCTTCAAGGGAGTTTCATTAACCTGACAAACACACACACACACACACACACACACACACACACACACACACACACACACACACACACACACACACACAGCCGTGGGCAAACATCATAAGCTTTCTAGGAACTTGCCGCTATAAAGGAAGGATGATAACCTTTGCTCAACATTAACTAAAAGAAAAACACTCACTCTTAGTTTAACTCATTCAGTCCAGGGAGACTTAAAGCTGCTTGTTGCTGGTCCTCTGAATTGGCTGTGTAATTATTTAAGTATAAAAGCAGTGATTTGCCTTCTTAAATATTCTTAGAGACAATGGGAAGTTAGAAGAGACACCAAAAACTAAAAGGCTATATTTCTGTCTGCTCGTCATCTGCACAGGAACATTACGCTGGACCCATTATATCTACAGCTCACTGTACACTTCCTTCTGTCTCATTATTAATTCATGGCAAAGTGTAACTACAGCAGGATTCTCGTAAGATGCTCAGTAATAGAAACCTGGAAAGAGCATGTGTCTAGTCTGGTGGTGTGTTTAAGGCTGGATATAAGTGCTCTCTGGGACATACAGATCATCACCTTTCCACTTAATGAAATTGTGATGCAAACAACTTTAGTGCATCTATGAGAGAAGCCATGAAATAAAGGTGTATTTCACTGTTGTACTGTACAAGCCTTTTCAACTTAATAAGACACTTGACAAATTCAACTCTTAAAGTCACAGTGACATTTAGAAGGAGTCCCACTCACCTGCAGGCAGTTTGTGGATCAGGAGAGTAGATGAAAGTCTGTCCAGCCTATAAAGGCCGCATGGACCATAGGAGCCAAGTAATCACAGTGAACTGCTGATAGGCTCCACTTTCAGCTATAATGAAGTATTCACACACCTGAGAAGATTCAAACATGCAGTCTGCAAAACCCTGTAGCAAAACTTCCACATTGCCATGTGTGCTCCTCACTATTGTTACTTATTCCCGTGTCTCTCTTTCTCACTCTCAGACTTTCTCTATCTGTCGATCTCAGCAGCTCTGGTGTTGAATCATTAACAGTAACCTGAGGCTCCTCCCACCGCAGCAGGTAGAGGTATACAGGCAGGAGGAGGAGGAGGATGGACTGGAAATATAAAGCAATAATGGGGTTGGAAAAATCACAGTCAGCTGCTAGAATCACATTTAAACCAGATTCTATTACATGACTTTATTGTTAATTGATCTGCAGTCTTGTTTCTTCTTACTTTTACAACATAAATGCAAACCCATTTGTGTGACATTGAGAAGTGATATATTATTTTCTTCTGACGTAGAATACAACTACCTGCATGGAGGCACACAAATAAAAAATGTCAAAGCAATTGG